TATGTTCAGTCTCATCACCCGACTGGCGACATTGTCAAAGTGACGCAGCCTGGGTACCACATGAAATATGTAAGTACGTTGATGTGTTGTTTGTGCGTGTGCGTCATTACAGCAACAAGTCCGCCAATCGCCTCCTCAGCCCATGCTGACTGACAGTGCGTGTCGTCACGCACGCACAGAGTATACCGCATATTCTCCTACCGTATAGGCATCCACCCCACCGTCCGGTACCGCGGTCTGCAGCGTGGGGATCGACCACATCCCGGCAGGTGCCGTCGGGGGCGACCCACAAAGCCAGTGGCCGCCAGAACCAGCAAGCAGAGCCAGTGGCCACGGGGGCCATCCCGCAGAGTCGCTGCCGCGCCGTGTTTCCAGCCCACCGCGGGAGCCATCAACACATACGGCGCCGTTGTCTAACACGTGTCATTCTCATTTACAATGACTCGACGGACACAGCCGTCGCGGGGCAGCGGGATAGAACGGCGGTCGGCGCGACCGGCCCGCCGCCTGCCAACGCCAACGCGGCCAGAGCCAGCGCGGTGCGGAGCTCCATGTGTAAAGGAAAGGGGTTGTAAGTAACCTGTCAGAGACAGGTGCCCTGAACGCCCTGTGGATAAATCATTAGATTAAATTGTTTCGAAATTAGTCGCTTCAGCCTTCGTCGATGTTTGTAATTTAGTCGCACTGAGGTGTTTTGTTGACGTGCTTTGTCTAGGAATACAAAGCAAACTGCTTTCCTTTAGTTTATTTTAACGCGTTTCAAAGCAAATAAGGTTGATGATCTGTCACGGTTAAGTGAGCTAAGATAGTGGTAGACCTGTTGCCAAATGCTCATTAGGGCAGATACCACACCCAATGGGTTCCCGACCAAACCATGGTGGAATCCATCACTAGTACCCTAATAGCTCTAGTTAGCCTCCACTAACAAAGGGCTAAAAACGCTAACCAGATTGGAGTCTGACGCGCATTAGCCGAATTGGGTGCCGGTCGTCAAAGCTGCAGCTAATGGGAATGTTTCGCGGCGCCGGCCATCAGCCAAATACCGCCGGGTACGGGCAACCTCCATCATTACACGGCGCTGACGGGGAAAGGCGGATGGAGACACGAGTGCTATAGATAAACACATTTGAACTTGATAGTGCATCGCGCGCAACTGCAACAGTAACAGCAAGCCATCATGTGGGTAAGTACCTACTGCCCCTTCAAGTGGGCTGTGGGCGGGCTGTTAGATGGCAGATTAAATTCCTGGAAATATATCTACTTATCAATATTTTTAGTTTTGAACATAAAAAATAGTAAGCTTACTGAGCTTGTATAGGTATGAGAGAGCAGCTCAGTAAGTAATGTACTAAGTAACTAGTGCTGTGATGACTAATGAGTCAAGCAAGGGCCCCGCGCAGAACACTCGGCAATGTCATAAAGTTAACCACAAGCGCGGAAAATACAGTCAATGGATGGATGTCGGATATGAGCCTTCCTGCCACCGAGTGGGTGACGTTGGCTCCTATGACGTCGGTCCGTCCCGCTCTATATCCCCTGACCGATATCCGCGCTGCGATATCAGTCCGCGGGGGTCTCGGGGGAGAGTTCGGGGAGGGTGAAGGGCACGGGCCTCCGCTGACGGATGGCCGGTCGGACGGGGCGGGCCGGCGAGACGGCCCACTGCACGCGGTCAGATCGGCAGTTACCGCAGACACCACGCTAGATCGGCCGTTACCGCGGATACCACGCTTACCGCGGCCAGGGCATTTGCTGCGGACTACCTCGGTCAGATCAGCAGTTACCGCGGACACTAGGCTACCGCGGTCAGGAGAAAAGTCCGGCCCGAAACAAAGAGAGTGGTTGATTCACAGCCATCTCAACCCGATCAAAAACGTTTTGGAAAGCTCCCTTGCACGTGCACAAAGTGGTAGCGCAAACGCAAGACAACTGGCATAGTGGATATTTTCAATTTCAAGCGCATAGCACGATACCTAAAAACATATCTCGCTTGTGTGGGACAATCATACTGGGATTAAATTACACCCAAAGCATCGATAAGATAAACTTAATCGGCGGGCTTCGTACGATCTGTGAAAGCGTTGTTTATCCTGGATGTTTTTGTCTGATAAACTTGAAGCAGGTCAGATAGATAGTTCTATCAATGCCTGAATGTTGAATGTGGATTTCTCTCTAAAACGCATTTCTTTGGACGTATGAGCAATATATAATACTGAACGAGGCCGGTGTAAATAAATTTTCAAGACCGAGGTCCTTACTGGATTTTTGAACGAGGCCGAAGGCCGAGTTCAAAAATCAGTAAGGACTGAGGTCTTGAAAATTTATCACCGGCCGAGTTTGGTATGTATTTTACTGTATGCCAACGATAAATTTATTTTCTGGACCGAAGCTCTTAGCCGACTTAGGAACGAGACCATCCCAAAATGTTGGCTTAAGTGCATTCTGGTAATGCATTTTTGACCGTGGTCAATTTGCTTACACCAGTTATTACCACACCCCTCTGGCTAATGTATTTGAATAGGCCAGGCATACAGTAAAGTGAATTACTGCATAGACCAAGGGACTTTTGATAGGCCACTCAATAGCTGCACGTTTTGAATCTCCAAATACAATGTGAAATTATTATAATAAGCATTCTTTTATTCTTTACACTGTCAGCCACTTGGCTCATCCTTTGGATGAGCACTGTTCTTCGCACAACATGGAAGCTGCATTCTAGAGTGTGTTATCCCTTCTCTAAACATAACCAATGTCTGAGAAGGTTGGCCTGCTGGATATTAGGAGAGAAAACATCACTCCTCCCATACAAACGAGTGCACCACATGCTGCAAAACTTCCTCATATGCCCCAATAACGCATGGACTCTGGCGACGACTGTCGTCTGATTGCTGAATTCAGCTTTCAGAGGTTATTTATATTTTTGGCACTTGAGTTTGAAGAATAGATATTGCATTGAATATTTTGTAAACATATGATTAGAATATCCAAGCGACTAAACTTACATAACGAACTGATAGAAGAGCACCGCTCGCTCCCTCATATCCAGCTATTCCGTGCACTTGAGCAATGTTCCGCAGGGAAGCCAGCGATGGACAAGTATCGTCCATAGTCGCCCTCCCCCGGTCTGTGTTGATCTCAGCCCTGACTGGGTTTATCAATAGCCGAGCGTCCCGGTGGGGGCGGACCGGGGGGCTCTCGACGGACTGGACGGGCGGCTCTCCACGGGACGGGTCGGAGGGGTCGCGGTGGGACGGTCCGATGGGTCCCGGTGGAGTCAGGTCTCGTCGGAGGCGGGAGGAGGCGGGATTAGGCGGGTTTCGTCGGAGGCGGGCGGAACTAGGCGAAGGCGGGTCTCGGAGGCGGACGGAGGCGGTCTCGGGCGGGCCGCCTGTCACAGTCGGATGATAGCTGACGGAGCTCAGCGCTGCACGGACAATCTCTGGCTTGGCATAGCGCCATTGCCTGTGTGACGATAGTGGTGTGGTCTTTGGTCGAATTGCTGAAACATTCGCTGAAGAGCTTCGGGCACCCGTACAGAGCGCAATATGCCGCAGCTGCACGCAGAAAGTAAAAAATAAGTGGTTTCGCAAAGGATAACAAAGTGTAACGTGCGAACTGCGAGCCCATGCGTTCAGAATCACGTAACTTTTAATTTACTGCCAGTAATAATGAGAAGGTGACATTTTCGCATGGTGAGCATTGGGCCAGTGGGCATGATCACGGGACGACTGAACAGTGAAACAAAATCTTTAGACGCTTGTTCGCCAATGCTCAATTGAATCGATCATCCTAGCTGATCACGCAGTTTTGTATGGCCCTCGGCAAATCATTGGCACAGATCTGGATATCTCCTCTGAATACCGAGTGGCTAGCCATCAAAGGAAATTGACCTGTTACGGCGAAAAAACAACACCAAAATGCTAGAGCTTCGTCGTAGACTATCAACAAGCCGGGACTATTCTTTTTCCTTATCGTCAGGCTTCTTCCTCGTCTCTTCCCTCCTCTCTCTCTCTCTCTCTCTCTCTCTCTCTCTCTCTCTCTCTCTCTCTCTCTCTCTCTCTCTCTCTCTCTCTCTCTCTCTCTCTCTCTCTCTCTCTCTCTCTCTCTCTCTCTCTCTCTCTCTCTCGCTCGGTCGCCTACCGTAACAATGCGCGTCGCCCACCGCATCCATGGACCCTCCCCGTCAGCGGCCCCGTGGGAATGAGCACCTGACCAGCTCATAACTGGACCAGTGTGTCGCACGCACCATATCGCCCCGCTAATCCGTCCACTACCACGGACACGCCTCTCCCGGCTGGCCTCTCCCCGATCGGACCTTCCGCGAGCCTCTGCGTAATGCGTGCCTACGCAGCCGGTGAGCAATAAGGGATCACAACGGTACGAATGGAGCATGGTGGTCGTTATTTTTAGCGACATTCATCCGCTACTTTCGGTAGGAAAAAACATGCCTTTTTATAGGAAACATATGCCTCGGACATAGAAGTGCGATCCCGTGTCGAGCGTGCCTGAAAAACTGTGATGAAAAAAAAACTGTGTTCTAACTCAGAGTGAAAAACTTTATAACGTACCACACTCCTTGCATTAGACACATATTGTTGCTGTTTGGTGAGCTCGAGAAACTCAGCCGGTACATTCATGCAGTCATTCGAGTGGCTCACAGTGGCTGATACCCGGGGTCTGGGGATCATTTGTAAGACACATAGATTGGAGCTCGGAGCTGAGTCATCACGAGCACGATTGCCGTCAACGATAGTCATAACGGAGGTCAGGGATCAGCTGTGATGTTCGAACTCCAGGACGCGATGGTCTGTGTCTTCTCACTCCGATGGTCTATTTAGAACTCACCGATATAGTCTGCGCTAAATTCACCGATGGTCTGTGTCAAACTCACCGATGGTCTGTGTGAAACTCAGCATTGGTCCGTGTCGAACTCACCGATGGTCCGTGTCGAACTCACCGTTGATCTGTGTCGAACTCACCGATGGTCTGCTCAAACTCACCGATGGTGGTCAGCACAGTGGAGGAGAAGAACACGGAATGTATGTAGGTCCACTTGTACTTGTGCACCGGCTGCCCGGGCGTCACGTCCACGCCCGAGCGAACCGCTCGCAGCAGCTCGGTCTCGTACTCCTGTAGCAGGCTCCTGACGGTGAGAGGAATAGGCTGTGAGAAAAGTTGCCACGGTGACAGAAATCACGGCCGGAGGCATAATTCACTGAAGTGAAAGAAGTGCGAGAGTGACGGGACGTAACAGAGACAGTGACGCCACGGAGGTCACAATAGAGCACAGTGAGACTAATATCTCATATCTGTGATGAGTCGATGACTGATGTTCTAGAAAGGGCACTACATGATAATTTTGTATGACAACTTTTCTCGCCGTATTACGGCGAATAATACTTGCTCCGTTCACCACATTGCGACGGTCCGGGTGAACGTTTTGGTGGTAATGCACATGCAGGTGCTTCCTTTATAAAATGTGGGCCGTTTGGAGCCGTTTGGACGAGTCCTCCTTGCGGTCGACTTAGTTGTCCTAAGGTGAAATAAAGTCCGCAACGCTGATGGCCGATAAAATTGACACACTTCATGATATGTTATTAGTTTTTTTACCAGGACTTTTTTTAAATATGACAAGTTTTCTAACATCTGGAAATGTGAGGCCAATCTCCTTCCAGTGGATATTATCTCCATGATAATCGCATATAACCAATGACCCCATTCTTTCACCAGCTTCTGTGACGGCCGGAGATTAAACAATAGTTGACAGATCACATTTGTCACATCGATTAGACGATGCCGGCTGATGGACGAGCTCTCTCGGCCGGTCGCCGTTCGCGACTCAGTCCACAGAAGGAGCTGCTAGTGGCACACTCATCACCGCCTCAACACTCACTATTGGCACGGCACTGCGGCACGCAATCGCTTCAGTCAACCCAGTCAGCCAATAAATCAGTCAGACGGCCAAAGACGATAAAATGGCGAATATGAATCACAATCATCTGATGAGAAAGGTAGTCACTATCGTTGCCGGTGATTAGCATATAAATGTTTCGGCTTCATGAGAACGCTGTTATAGAAGCGACCATCGTTTAAAAAAGGTTACAAATATCTAGTTGAAATCGTAAATGAAAGAGACTACCCACTCCATATTGCACAATATGAGCTATGAAACTATAAAAAGTCATGTCTGGCAGCCCTCTATATAGACTTGTTGGAGAATGGCGTACTTGTTTGACACCTAACCCGCGCCCCGTTGGGCTCTGCCGAGCAACGCGCCCCGTTGGGGGGGGGGGGGGGGCATTTTGGCCCCCCTAAGATCTCGAGAACCACGCAACCTAGCGACAAGCGGCAAACGGTGTTGGATAGCCCTATCAGGGAACTACCTTGTGACCCAATTTTATTGACCTAGGTCAAACCAATGACGTCACAGGTCAGGTCAAAGGTCCAATTTTCACCGTTTACAGGCATTTCAAGAAATGCGTTGTAAAATCGAGTAAAATGCATTTCATTGAAAATCATCGATAGGGAAATGTTCTTCAAACACATATTTTGCTATTTGAGGTCACTGATACCAGGTCAGGTCACAGAGGTCAGGTCACGGGGGGTCACAATATGAAAGTGTCGTGTGATGCATGTTTTATGGTCCATTTTACATGACGAATGCGATTATGTGGGTCAGGCAGCCTTTGGGGCCAGCTTAGGTCACGTTTTGGTCAAGGTCAGGTCAAGGTCAGGTCAAGGTCAGGTCAAGGTCAGGTCAAGGTCAGGTCAAATTAGGTCAAATTTCAAAGTTAATATTTTTGCATAAAATGGGTACCTATCGAATCGATGCAGCTCGTCACGGGGAGATCAATGGTGGTCTTTGTTTTGCCGTAAGTGGTCTAGAATCGCTAAAAATTGAGTTCAAAAATTTGACATCATCATTTTTGAACAGTTTTTTCGCTATAACTTGGCCAAAAAACGAGATATCGATCTGAAATTTGGTATGTATATAGAAGAGCGCAGGGACTATCACATATATTCCGTTTTTTTTTCGAAATTCGGAAAATTTTTGGATTTTTTTAAAGTTTTTCTAAAAAAATCATTTTTTTGATTTGTTGGGGGTCAAAAACCCAAAATTTTGAAAATCAGAGATAGCAATTTTGTAGCGCCGCTTTTTGTCTACTAGACCATATAAAGAACTTTGAAATTGCTTGATAACTGTAGATTTGGTGAGCGTTTCAAGATTGCATGTTTTTTGCTCATTTTTGCTCGAACATGACCTCAGTTTGACCTCAATAACTCCTGACCTAAGGTGACCTAAGACTTGAAATTTTGTGTGAAGGTGTCAAATTGATGCCCGGGAAGGTACTGAAAATTTGGCGGCGCTGCGCGCCGCCGTTTTCTTGCTATTCAGGAAAAACCACAGGGGGGGGGCCAAAATGCCCCCCCCCAACGGGGTGAGGGCTAATGTTGACAGCAATGCACGATAATTCTGTAAAATTCCATTTCTGGTCAACGTAATTGGGTCATAAGTCAGAACCATTACTGAATTTAGGAGATATTTTCCCGTTCTGTAGGCTGTTTGTGGCGAAAGTGTAAATAATATAATTTACATAGCGTTAGCATGCTATTTTTCCCAAAAAATATTTCTTAACAATGTTAAGCTTATTCGTAATGCACATTAATGCATTAATTAACTCTTCAATCTTAGTAACATGTGGAAATTTCCGATTGCACTTGATGCATCATGAGTTGAATCTGAGTGGATAAGCTTTCTCACTATCAGCGAACATTTTAAAACACCGATTTTCAGGCAGCAAAACACAGCCCGAAGCAACACAATCAGCGACTTTCACGCTAATGAAGCCGCTAATGATCCTCCGGGCCCATTCATTCGGCGTGTTGTCGCTGGCTGTCTCCCTCCTCTCCCCTCTCACGGCAGTGCTCCGCCGCAGTCGCCACCGCTCTGGTAGCGTTCCCCGGTCAGCCCGGAGGGAGGGTATGATGCAGACAGAAGCGAGCCACGCCCCTGTCACCGGCCGCGCGGCCGACGGCACGCAACTCTACACAGACCCCTGCCTGAAACATAGCGATACAAACAACGGAAAAACAGGGGGTGCGACAAACCCATCTGCCCGGACAGGATGGAGTTCTCAAGGGACTGGTTTTATATGGGATTGTGTTGCACGGAGTGTGGACTTATAACTGGAGTTTTATGATGCTAATTTTATGTTTTCTGGTTATGTTGAGCAAGTAATGATTATTGTACTGCTGTGCATACTACATACTGTAACCGGTTGCTGCTCACCTACACTCTTTCAGATGTTTCTCCGTGAAAAGTCCCCACAATCACCAATGGGGCACTCCATTGAAAGGCCAAGAGCCTCCGGCTCCGCTGCAGGTTTTCCTCAGCGGAAGGAGATTATGAATCATGAGTCCATTTGGACCGTCGCGAATCTCATTTGAAACCACCGGGAATCTATTGCGGGCGAATCTGCTACAAAAGAGCGCCCGTGGCCGCGGGTCGGCTGCACTCAGCGGATGGGGAGGACGGAGCTCTGTCGTTATAGAAGAGCCGCCTTACCACCGGAGCCGCCTCCGGGCGCGATTTTTCATGTCGGTAGAAAACATCCAATCATTCATGGAGCGACGGCAGCGGCGGCGGAGCGGCTCTAACGCGTCGCCCCGAGCCGCCAGCTACTGATAGCGCTCAGTTGGAAATGAGGAGCCACCGGGGCTGGATATAGTGCCGCCAATGGTGATACTCTAAATTAAACGGAACCTAAAACACTCCAGATATTTTGTTGTCATCCCAGATGATGGTGCTGAAGCTGTGAGTGAAATGCTATCGGTGACGTCCAGCAATGTATATGGGAGGAATTAGCAGGCCTAGTAAAAAAAATTACGTCAAGATGAGCAAGTGAAATTCACTTTCATTCCGTATAAATAAAAACCATTTATCGGTTGAACACAGCTGCACGCAAAAATATAAATGAATAAGTCACAGGTTTGCTTATTTCATAATTCGTCGGCATGACGTCGACCTTTTGCAAATCAGTCCATCACGAAATGCATCACTTTTCACGCCTGGATGGTTATAAATAGCCAGATTATTCGCCATGGGAATAATACCTGGGACCGTTTGTCATTCAGATGATGTCAAATATCCCGACATAACTCATTCATCTTGACAGAAATGGAAGAATCATTGAATGCTGCTCGAATTAGATTCCATGAAGCGAATGAAAAGGATGGACGAAAAAAGGCATGGAATGATGTTAGTGCATATATTAGGTACCTTTAAATTGCTTAGGCTTTTAAATTGTCAGATGTTTCCATGAGTTACATCCGTATGGTAGCATGCTTACAAATGATCTAGGATGCATAATTTCAGGGTAATAGCAATGCATGACGGCATCTACCCTGCACCGACCAGTGACGTCACTCACCCGACCAGCCGGTCCAGGTTGATGACGTCAGTGTTGTTGACGATCTTCCACACCAGATGGTGACGCCGGGCCATCACGTGGTTGTAGACCCGATCAAACTCTGCCGTCTCGCTGGGTAGTTCTATGTCCTGAAATATCTGTCAGAGAGCGACCCGCAGTCAAAACACAACTACACTCTTCAGAGACAAGAAAGCCTACGTATAGGGGTCGAAAACACGCAAAGCATAACCGACATAGACAGTGCACTAAGCCGATCGATTGTATGCGTTACGCATCTGCTTGCCCTCACACACCGCGGGCGAAGGCCGCGCGATATGAAAACAATAGGCCGGATGAGTGAGGGCGGGCGCGCGTGATGCGATCGATGAGCGGGAGAAGAATGCAAGCCGGGGCCTGAGAATGTCGGAGGGAGTCTCACGGGCTCCATGAGCCTTCATGAAGCTCATGTAGAGATAGCTGGTATGGACTGGATAATGGATAGTGATTAGTGACTTAGGTATACAGAAATTGTATCCAAATTTAAATGGAAATAACTATTCGGTGATGTGTTTGCTTTACCATGTCTACATGTGGCTCATAAAATTTAATATTTATATAAGGCATAGTTCCTAAGGAGATATCGAGGAAACAGGCAAAACTCATCTCTTGCAATGAACCTGGAGATTCTCGGTGAAATTGGAAGGGCAAATGAGAGAATCTTAGCCGATGAATGTATAAATTAAGAACCGAGACCAAGTTAAGATGCAATGTTACTTCAGGTTATATTCAATATTGAGAGTTAAAACCTTGCTTTATTTATGAAGGTCCCAGACCTTGACTAGACCCTGGCTCTGGGGAAGGCGACCAGTCTATACCACAGACGCGCGGCGGCGGGTCTGACCTTGGCTCCTCCGGCGGTGTAGACGACCAGCAGCAGAAGCAGGCCCACATGACTGCCGACGCTGCGCAGACGCTGCACGGCCCTCCTCCAGGCAGACGTCGGCTCGGTCACCACGGAGACACTGACTCGCGGCCGGCCACTGCCGCTCCGGGCTCTCATGGCGGCACCTCATGGCGGCGGCGGCCCAGAGCGCTGTGAGCGCCTGCACGGGTGTCCCGGTCACCGGGTGTCAGGGAAACGTGAGGTCAGCAGGTGAGGTCACACCGGTCACTGGGTGTCAGGGAGGTCACACAGGTCACCGGGTGTTAGGGAGTGAGACTGCATGGTGTGAGGTCACAGCGTGAGGTAACATAGGTCACTGGGTGTTAGGGAGGTAACACCGGTCACTTAGTGTTAGGGAGCGGAGACGGCAGCGTGAGGTCACACCGGTCACCGGATGTCAGGAAGGGAGACAGCAGTGTGAGGTCACAAATCGGACACCGGGAATACGTGAGGGAGACGGCGTGGACACTGGACACACACTGAGTCACCGGGGTGCTTGATGGCGTTACCGTTAGGACGTCGTATGTCAATAAGGGTAAGCAGGCGTGGGCAAACTGGGCATACATACTTATTGACCGCTGTCACTGACCGGGGACGGAGTGAGTGTAGATCACCGACTAATGACAACGGTGACCGTTACAGACAACCTATATGATGATAGCATGTAGGTACTCACTGTCGACCCTGAATGAGCCCTGTTTACTGATATGACGAAGTGAAAAATACAGCCACGAAACTGTCCGGAACAGCTGAGGCCTGAGTGCATTTGATATGGATTTCAATAGCAAAATAACGAAAGTCGAAACAATTACTGAAGCTACTGTCATTTTAAGTCTATATTATTCACGTCAGTTCGGCACTGGTCTTTATTATTTCCGACCGTCTTGTTCATAAACAAATGTCTCAATTTACGTTGCTCTGCAGGAAGCAACTGGTGTAGCTTATGATTTGTTAATGTGTTATGATTTCCCCTGTGGTATGAGTCAGATTTACGACGTTAATTTAGCCATCTTCGCGGATGCATTTACTTTTTGATGAGGCCGCATACAAGGGGTCCACTTCGCGCATGCATTAATACACACAACACGCATGTTTGCGCTTTCCCTAATTTACGGTGAACACCGTGAAAGTTATTTCAAATAAGGACATTTGCTGATTTGCATGATGGGCTCATTCACATAGCCCATCATGAAAATATACACAAGTCTGTGGCTCAGAATTTTCCACATTGAAAAGATGCCGCCAATATTTTCATCTAGGAAAAATGCAATCTATAAGTCACCACGCTGTCACATGAAAAAAAAACAACTGAAGTTGTCTCAGTGACTCTAAACAAACAAATGACCTATCCGGCGATATCCACGATTCATGACCGAAACTGGCTGGTGGGCGAATCTGTTTTTGTTCCGAGTACAAATGTTGCCGACTTTACTGTGTGGTGATAGGATGTGGCCACGATCAGTCAGCTCAGGACGCCGGATGAAGTTGGAGCTGAAATGGGTGCGGATTCTCGAGATGGGACCGAGTCGGCTCTCGATGTCCGGAGTAAATGCAGTGGCAAGAGACACGAACGGCGAAGCGGTCATAGACAGTGACATATCGCTGGGACCAAAGCGACGAGGGATACCGCCTCCTAGCGACGGTTTGTGGTTCAACTTGTGACCAGCTGACCGTAAACCGCCATCAAGCGATGTTCACCCATCACCGGACCCAGCAGCTGATGGCTGACCAGCAGCTGGAGCTTTGCCTTTGCGGCGACCGCTGACAACTGATTACTGATCAATGCCATATGACCAATGACCGTTGACCGCTGAGCGCTGACCGATCATCAGTCATCACTGACTATAGAGGCTAAGTAATGATGCTGTTGTTGTTGTTCTTCCCTCCGCTTCTAATGAAGTGTAGCCTGTCGGCTCTGGGCGCCTCTGGCGGCCGCCGCCAGGGCCGCCACCACGGCGGTCTCCCGGACCTCCTCCGGTTCCGGGTGGATGGTGTAGCACGTCCTTGATCTCGTCCCCATCAGGGCGGGGCAGCGGAGGAGGACATGATCCGGCCTGTCCGGCTCCTCCCGGCACAGGGGGCACCAGGACTCTCTGCAGTCATCTCTGTTGCACCCCTGGCATCCGCCTGGGATCGGAGACGGGGAGCGACCGATTCTGTGCAGGTAGGACCGGGCACCAGACCAGTGCCCGGCCCTCAGCTGGTGGACATCCACCGCGCTGGACCGCTCCAAGCCGGTAACTCGGGGCGGTAGGCGGTCGCCCATCACGGACCGGAACCACCCGGCTGGCCAGTTCTTGATAGTAGCCTCTCTGGCGGCTCTGGCTACTGCTCGGCAGATGGTCCTGGAGTCGACGGGGATGTCCTCCTGTGGTAGCTCCGCCGCTTCCTTTGCTATGGCGTCTGCCCGCTCGTTGCCTTCGATCCCGCAGTGGGAAGGCACCCACTGAGCGTGAATCGGGCGGTGACCCTCCCGGGACAGCCGCGAGAACGCCCGCCAGATCCTGACGCCTAGCGGTGACGTCTGCGCGGTGGGCCCCGCCCGGAGGGTAGCCAGGGAGGCCATACTGTCCGTGCAGATCACGATGGGGATGTCACGGTCTCGTGGATTGTCGAGCAGGTGCTCAAGCCCGGACGCCAGGGCGAGCATCTCTGCTCGGTAGCTGGAGCAGTATCGACCGGCCGGTGTCTTCAGGTCTTCCTCCTCTCCGTCCGACCAGATGACTACTGCTCCAGAGCCTCCGTCCTTGACGCCACCCTCCACGGAGCCGTCCGTCCACAACCAGGTTGCTCTCTGTGGTAGAGCGGCAAGATGACGGGTGGCAGCCCGTATCTTCTCTCCTTCTGTCGCACCGGTTCGTAGTGGCCCCACGTCCAGGCAGAAGGTGACGTTTCCTCCGCGCTCCCACGGCGGGATGCGAGGAGGCAGCACCGGCTCGATCGGTGCGGTGACCTCCACCTCAGCCAGCATCTGGCGGCCCAGCGTTCGCCACCCCCGCACAGAAGACAGCCGCGAGGGCGCCGAGGCCTCAGCTGTCCTGCGCAGGGGGTCGGTCGGCGGTAACGCCAGGGCACGACCCAGTAGCCGAGCGGCGAGGACTTTCTTCCGCTCCTCCATGGGGGCCAGCCTCGCCTCCGCCATCACCGCGTGTGTCGGCGTGGAGCGGGGGCATCCGGTGACGATCCGCGCGGCCGCCCTCATCTCGCGCTCAATGAGCTCGGCGTGAGATGGCGCGGTTGCGGGCAGCCATGCAGCGGCAGCGTGCTCCAGAGCCCCCCGAACATATCCGTTGGCGACTGTTCTTAGAGCCTGTTCGTCCAGCCCCCAGCTGCGGCCGGCTAGGCGTCTCAGGTGGGCGACGCGGGGGCGGACTCGTCTTTTCAGACGGCGGCAGTGTGCTCCGAACTGGAGTCGGCGGTCGAACTCGATGCCGAGGAGCACCAGTGAGTCGCCCGCCCGCACCGTCTTCCCTGACACCTTGATGGTGCACCCGACGGCGTCCTTGGCGTTCTGCGACAGTACTAGCAGCTGGGTTTTCTCTCCGGCCACCAACATCTTGTTTCGGTGTGCCCAGGCGGCTAGAGCATCAGCCGCTGTCTGGGCGCGTTGTATCGCCGTATCCAGAGTGTTGCCGGAGCTGAGCACAGCAGTATCGTCAGCGTATATGTACGGTGAGATGCCAGGTGCGCGGAGGGCCTCGGCTAGTCCTGCCGCCCATAACAAAAACAACTGGGGGGACAGGACGCTTCCCTGAGGGAGGCCCGCGCGGAAGATCCGCTCCTTGGAGAGCGCACCCTGTACCTCAACCCGCACTCGACGGTCTCGTAGCCAGCTCCACACCCAGCGAACCAGGCACAGAGGGAGGCCCAGCTCGAGGAGGCGCAGCTTCAGAAGTTTGTGGTCTACCACGTCGTACGCTCGGCTGAAGTCGTACGCGGTGAGGAGGTACTTCTGGGCTGTGCTGCCGTCCGGTCGCTCAGCACGCCTGTCATACTTGGGCCGCTGCCATCCGTCTTGGACGTTCTGGACGAGCCGGCCAATGCTATCTTCTGCAGACCGCTTGGCTCTGAAGCCCACCTGTTCGTCAGGGACAAGGCCGCGACTCTCCGCCACGAACGCAAGCCGAGCTAGTATCAGTCGCTCGGCGAGCTTGGAGACGCTGCTCGCTTGGAGACGCTGCTGAAGTAATGATGCTCGCCAAGCTTACCGCAGTGATGCATCAATTGCCAGTTCAAACCAACATTTTTTAAGTGAACTGACGTAACACCAGTGTGCGTTTCACGTAAGATCTGTGAATATGACGAGAGGTGCGTAACGAATCATTAACTTCGTTATTTCGTAATTTCATTATTCGTAACTAACCGTAATTTCGAGCACAATTCTAGCTGTTCATGCGATCAACCCACTGCTTTCAGGCAGTTAGCTGAGGCGCCAACTGCTTTTACACGTGATTAGCTTTGCATTCCGACACTCAACAGCGCTCATAGGCGCAGTGCAGTGGCAACTACGGTGACTGTGGCTGTGACTGTGACTGTGACTAAGGCTGTGACTGTGACTGTGACTGTGACTGTGACTGTGGCTGTGACTGTGGCTGTGGATGTGACTGTGACTGTGACTGCGGCTGTGACTGTGACAGTGACGGTGACGGAGCGGCAGTGACAGCGCCGGTGATGGGTGCCGTTGATGGGGCTGTGGCTGTGGCTGTGACTGTGACTGTGGCTGTGACTGTGACTGCGGCTGTGACTGTGACAGTGACGGCGACGGAGCGGCAGTGACAGCGGCGGTGATGGGTCAGGGTGCCGTTGATGGGGCTGTGGCTGTGGCTGTGACTGTGACTGTGACGGTAACCATGCCTGTGACTGTGGCTGTGACTGTGGGTGTGACTGTGACTGTGGCTGTGACGGTGACTGTGACTGTGGATGACTGTGACTGTGACTGCGGCTGTGACTGTGACAGTGACGGTGACGGAGCGGCAGTGACAGCGCCGGTGATGGGTGCCGTTGATGGGGCTGTGGCTGTGGCTGTGACTGTGACTGTGGCTGTGACTGTGACTGCGGCTGTGACTGTGACAGTGACGGTGACGGAGCGGCAGTGACAGCGGCGGTGATGGGTGCCGTTGATGGGGCTGTGGCTGTGACCATGACTGTGACTGTGGTTGTGGCTGTGACTGTGACGGTGACGGTGACGGAGCGGCAGTGACAGCGCTGGTAATACGGCCGTTGATGGGGCTGTCAGTGTGTGTCACGGGTCGCCGGTCGCTCCACGGGGCCAAAGAGCGTCTTTTGTTCGTGGTCCCGAGCTGTCTCGTGGGCACGAGCGAGTGTCGACCCAAGGTAGGAGAACAGGGCTGGCGGTGGTAGGATGGAGACGGACAGCGGGAATGTGAAGGAGGTGGGATGGGAGAGAGAGAGAGAGAGAGAGAGAGAGAGAGAGAGAGAGAGAGAGAGAGAGAGAGAGAGAGAGAGATAGAGAGAGAGAGAGAAAGAAAGAGAGAGAGAGAGAGAGAGAGAGAGAGAGAGAGAGAGAGAGAGAGAGAGAGAGAGAGAGAGAGAGAGAGAGAGAGAGAGAGAGAGAGAGAGAGAGAGAGAGAGAGAGAGAGAGAGAGAGAGAGAGAGAGAGAGAGATGATGGCGACGAAAAACGATGGTCGGAGGGGGCGGCTATTGCGTCACGAGGCAACAGCTGACCTGACCATGCCGTGTTGGCAGATACTCTCAGCCTTGCTCTAGCCAGACAGCTAAGCCATGACACCTTAGTGTTGAGCCAGCACCAGCGAACATCGATTTCGCCTCGGGCAGCGCGCGTTTTCGATACGATCCCACATAAAGCCTAAATGATGCGGCCATTATCCTGTCTGCGGGGCCGCAGCCGATTGCAGCGCTACTCCGCCAGTCGAGCAGAGACCGCAGCTGTTTGCGCAAGGTGTGCCAGAAGCGTGCTACAATATGGCTAGAATGCCGGAAATGAGGGGAGTAAAAAAGTGAAAGTACGCTGAGGAGGGAGGTCGAGGAAGGGACTAACGTAACGAATAATCTTGGCATGGCAAGGTGTTTTATTTGTTTTCTCTTTCCGCTATTCTACTCTTTTACTTTTTTTCCAATCTCAGCCCACTCACTTTGTGCCAGCCCAGTTATTTTCCAGAAAGGACACATAGAAAGAGAGTGCGCAAATTTTACCATTCTATTTTTTTTTTTTTTTTTTTTGAAAGAGACATTTATCAGCCACAGTTTTGTTTCGGTGAAATTCTACCCTCACGAACGCAATTAGAGCGTTTGACTGCTCTTTGTTTCTCTGAGACCAACAGCCATGAATGTATGCATCTGGGCCACTTATCTGAATGTTTCCGATCTGCGCATGGTGCGGTGGAGAGCGATGACACTGGCCAGCGGCTGTGGGGCCAGTCGGGGAGGGGGGGGGGACAGACACAGACCGGCTAATTGTAACATCGGCAGCGACGGATACGCAGGCTGCACCGTGTCCTCTGCGGGCCGTCAGGGACGCACACCCGCTGTCCGCTCCTAATGCGGCGTCCGCTGCATCCATCAGCCCGGTACCGAGGTATGGAGGCATGGGCGGGCAGCGCACGGAAACGGGGAGGGTACGACCAGCCTGCCTATGTCGACGTAAAACATAGATACATGATAAGTGGGTGATTACTGCCTGGTGCCTGGTAGCAACCAAATAGCCTCTATAGATGTTGTCATCCACAATTTATTTACAGTGGTCAGTTAATAAATAATTGCTTAGTAGAATTGCTTGCAACTGAAGTTTTAATAGCTGCCTACGGATATTTGAAACATGTTTTGACGTTTCGCGGAACACATGAAAACAAAATGCCTGGTAGGACATGATTTAGAGAGTTGCTGACTGGCTTACACAATAATATACGGTGGCACTTATTAGTGGCAATGGACTTTATGGGGCCGAATCAGAAAGCAGAAAGTATCCATTGAGCAATAATGCCTATCTGCTGCCTTGTGACCCAACTTCATTGACCTCGGTCTAACCGATGACGTCACAGGTTAGGTCAAATGTCGAATTTTCACCGTTTACAGGCATTTCAAGGTGATGTAAAATCGAGTAAAAAGGCATATTATTGAAAATCATCTATATGGCATTGTCCGTCAAACACATATTTTGCTATTTGAGGTCACCAATACCAGGTCAGGTCACAGAGTACAGGTCACTGAGGGTCACAACACGAAATTGTCGTGTGATACATGCTTTATGGTCCATTTTACATGACAAATGCGATTATGTGGGTCAGGCAACCTTTAGGGCCAGTTTAGGTTATGTCCTGGTGAAGGTCAAGTTAAGGTCAGGTCAAATTAAGTCAAATTTTAATCTTGATATTTTGGATAAATGGGTATCGATTCGATGCAGAGCGTCACGGCAAGTCTAATGGTGGTCTTTGCTTTGCGCTACGTGGTCTAGAATTGCTTAAGTTTCAGATTGAAATTTGACGTCATCAATTTTGAAGAGTTTTTCGTTACAATTTGGCCAACAAAGGAGGCATCTATCCAAAATTTGGTATGTGGATAGAAGAGGGTAGGGACTATAATTTATGTTCAGTTTTTTTTCGAACTACGAAAAACTTTTGGGATTTGTTAGCTATTTTATCATAAAAAAATATTTTGGGGATCGAGCTCACAAAATTTTGAAAATCCGAGGTAACATTTTGTAGTGCCTTCTTTTTTCTACACGACCATCTAAGGAACTTTGAAATTGCTTGGTACTGTAGCTTTTGTGAGCGTTTTAAGATTTCATGATAATAGCTCATTTTGCTCGAGCATGACCTCAGTTTGACCTCAATAACTCCTGACCTAAATTGACCTATGACTTGAACGTGTGTGTGAAGGTGTCCAATTCATGTCTCGGAAGGTACTAAAAATTTAGCCGCCGCCGCCGTTTTTTACGCTATTCAAGAAAAACCACGGGGGCCCCCATCAGGGCGTGGGTTAACCCTTAACCCCCATTCAGCCGGTTTCGCTTGTTTTAACTTCTAATGTTTTCAATGTAACGTCTACCATTTTGAGTAAGAAGTGGAAACATCCCATCAGTGAAAGAGCTAAAAATAAAAATGATAAATATAAAGTAGAAACAGCATACATGCAGCACATGGGTGCACGCGTTTCGTCAGACTTTTTCAACACGCGTCCATCCATGTCTACTCAATATATATATATATATATATATATATATATATATATATATATATATATATATATATATATATATATATATATATATATATATATATATATATATATATATATATATATATATATATATATATATATATATATATATATATATATATATATATATATATATATATATATATATATATATATATATATATATATATATATGAATACTTTGGTTTGGGAGCAGGTTTTCCTTGATACATATTTCATTGAAGACGACAGCATGTTTTGTGTTGTTTAACTTTTTTGTTTCGTTTTCCAATCGCCGAATGACATTACGCTGTTCTATATATATATATTGTCTATACATTACTCAACATAAAAATGACAAAGTAAAATGCCTGCACCACCCACTCATCGTCAGGCGCGACAAACGTGTGGTTGCCGTTCAGCTTTGGAAGCTCGGTGGCAACGGTATCATTTAGTCGCCGCGACTCATCAGCGGCAGTAAAAACTGACGCCCGTGGTCATCAGTGGCAGAACATGGTGCTTAGCCTGGTGGCTTATCTCTAGTTGGTGGCTGAGTGGCTCACGGATGGCCCGCAAATGACTCATGGCGGTCATGCAGACCAGTCAGGCGCTTTTGAGAGGATGGCTACGCTAGGGGATTCTATTTGTCGTCCGATAATAAATATTTGAAAAATAGTAAGCGATATGTGTTATGAATGTACCTACGTGTAAATTAAGTTTTAGTGCTTAAATAAATGAGTTAACTACCCTACCCAGTGATGTATTTTACTTCACATAAGTTTGTAACACACGATTTATTTTTGCATCTTGGCATCTTTGGATTTGAATCTGGCTTTGAACAAATGCGGATTGAAATCCTTGTACCAAACAAAAAATATTTTATCTAGTTTAGCCAGGTTGCCTCTGCAAACATCACTCCGGCAAGCTACAGGTATTTGGAGCGTGGGGGAATACCTATGATTTTGCGGCAAGGTCGTCGGTCAGTATAGATGGCATTTGATTTGTATATAAAAAATGGAGAAGCGATCATCTTATTTAAAGCTATCGCATTAGACTGGTTTATTTTAGACTGAGTAATATTTGATGTAAGTTCTGAGTACTTCTCCAACTGAAGAGAGTGCAATTGCAAAAGTAAAAAACCGTTGTGGGTCTTTTCCATCGATTTCGCAATTATCGTTAAACCTACCAAGTCCAACATTAATGTGACCTAGCACTACACGCCACAAAGCACACCTGAGCAATGAGTAAGAAGCATACGCAATCAACCCAGGACAAGAACGTCTTTCCCGGATTATTCTCACCTGAATCCTGTCATTGTCCTCACACCAACAGCTGTGCTCAGTTCCGTTGCCGATGTTCAGAGACGGAAGGCCAACAGTCAATCTATTGGTTTCTCATCTCCGTCTGGACGATCAGCAGTCTCCGAATGTCTCCGCGCGTCTCTGCGCCGTCTCTGTGACGTCTCTGCGCCGTCTCTGTGACGTCTGCGTCGTGTCCGTGACGTCTCTGCAATCTGCACCGTCTCCAACCCACACTCGACCACCTTCAGTTCTGCTTACACAGCTTACCTTCCCCTCTCGCTACCACCGACGTCCACAGCCGACACATTCGGCACCGTGTAATCCGAGCGCCGGCGAACAGACCGGGAGACCGTCAGTGACCTCTCACCCCGTCGGCGTGGGTTCCGAGCCGCGGCGCCACGCGCTGTCTGTGCCCCGGCCGGCAGCCACCCTGGAGCGGCGCGGACTGGGCCGGACTGTACCGCCCTCGACCGACCGACTGCTCACGAGAGGCGCGCGCCGTCCCCGGACCGGTGACGAGCCGCACCATCAGACACACTGACAGCCGTGGTTATATCGCTTTTTTATTTTTTTGTTTAACCCGCGCACCGACGGGGGTCTGCGCCAACTTAGTACCGACGGGGGGGGGGGCGGATGACCGCCCCCCCCTGAGATCTCGAGAACGAAGCAAGATAGCGACAAGCGGTAAACGGCATCGGATACGCACGGTCAAGATCTACAATTTTTACTAAGGTCATTTTCAGGTCAGGTCAAAGATGACGTCACAGGGGTCGAAAAAGTCAAAATGGCGGCGCTAAATATGGAGAGTTTTTCTCGAATAACTTTCGAATTAGTCAAGATAGGAACAAAGTAAGGGCAGCATCGTGATCCTCTCGTCCATCCGCATCGAATGATATATATGTTGACCTCGAAAGGTCAAGGTCAAAGGTTGACCTCAGGTCACGTGACCTCGAGGTCATCATGTATATCATTCGATGCGTCTTGACGAGCTGAACACAATGAGACCATCCACGCGTCTGTATCTTGTTCCTGTACGGAGTTATTGGCCAAAAACCTTTGGTGACCTTTGATGACGTCACATGACCTCACAGCTGCCCAACAGCAAAACAGACCTCAAGGTAGTGAAGGTTGATCGTGTATGAAGTCATGTATGGTATATGGGGCCATTCCGACCCGTTTTAGTGGTAAAAACAGGGAGTTGATTTTTCCCCCATTGACTTATAATGGGGAGGTCGCGAAATTGACCTGACCTTAGGTCACCGATATCAAAATTCCGAGATATACAAATTGTAGCTACTAATGACCTAATAACATCCTGCGACTTTCAAAGGCCTCCGACATCTACTGTAGCTCTGGCACGGTGACAAAGTTGCAAAAAAGTGACTTGAGGTTGGGTCATTCAAAGTGACCTGGTGACCTGACCTTGAAAGGTAGGAGGTTCAAACTTGCACACCATGTGTAAAATTGATAAGGGAATAGTCATACCAAATTTCGCGGCGCTACGCGCCGCGGTTTTCCCGCTATTCGCGAAAAACCTCAGGGGGGGCGGATATCCGCCCCCCCCCGTCGGTGCGCGGGTTAAGCACAGACTCAGTATTCATCGCTTTATCGCCTTTTTGTTTATTTTTTTTTTCTTAAGCGCACAGCAACCATAAGCGGCTTGGAAATGTCTTATCCTCATATTCAATCATGTCATCGAAGTAAACGCACATTGTTGTCACTCCTGATTAAATCCCACTAATAATCCCATTAAAGGGACCCTCCCACCTTAACATTAGTTTTGAGTTGAGATAGCCAAGTTTGCGGCCAGGCTCAGAAACCACCGTTTATCCTGGTCGCAACCCCCGCAGCTTTATGGTGTTAAAGAAATTTCTTCTCTTTACTTGCAGGGTGGGACCAGCGTGGTCCCTATCTCTTAACCATTACGGGAATCTGATGACGTCATCAGGCTTTCGAACGTCCGTTAAACGTTTGACTAAAACGTTTTGTAGCACGCGGTGGTATATGCTGCTTTGCGCGCAACAAATGCCGCACTTTCAAATAAAGTCGCTAGGAACAGCGGAGATCCCAAAAAGGAAACAAAAGTAAAAGTCGAATATCTTGAAAACCGGTGAATATTTTTCGATGAAATTTGGTAGATATTCGTTTTTGCTCTTTCTGAACCGAGCGACATCACTTTCATGCCAATTCATTAACTTTTTTGAAGGTGGGAGGGTCCCTTTAATGCACTCCTGATGAATTATGCACTTAGAGTAGAAACCTAGCACACATTTAAGATCAACAGACCAGTCTTAGCATTGCCCTTCACATTTATTGACAAACGCATTATTGACAACGGTTTGATCTAGTTCGATTGACCGATTTCCCGAAAATTAAACTCAGCAATCACACCCAAATTCACCATTAACTTCATTAGTACCTAACTATCATAAAAGAACATGCCTCTTAACGTGTTCCAACTTTTCCGTTCCCCACCCACCATTACCATTTCTTTTAAATATAAATTTAGTTCGAATCTGTTTGAATGGACGGATGACAGAGCTGGAGCCTACGCTAAGCAGAGCTTGTTGCGTAGACCCCGACCCTACCGTCCGATCACGCAATTCCGGGTAACGGGAGAATTTTAGATGCCAAAGTTTAACGTGCCCTTCAAAGCCGGACACGGCCTGTCCCACTCAACTGATTTCAACAGGCTGCGGCTGCTCCCACCAACCGCAGACCATCTCTGTCAGGAGTCTCAAAAATCGAGCGCCGGAGCGACTCGAACCCGCGCGGGCTCTCACCAACGGGAGTCCGGCGCTCCACCAACTGAGCTACGGGACAGGCAAATTTACAATTTTTTATTTATTTCATAAAAATGGTAGCAAATTTATTTATTATATCTACCATTACCATTAGCGATCAAGCAGATGTTGATAACTGAAACTCTCCGTGTTGCCGTCGTAGCTATCGAACCGTATGAGCGGCTGCTGATGCGGCAGCGGCCTTAGCTGCGGCTGCGGCAGCGGCTGCAGCTGCACCAGCTCCGGCCGGATCGGCTCATAGACGTTCTGGCTGTAGACGGTGGCGCGTCCCGACCCCTGCTGATTCTGGCCGCCGACCTCCGCGCCCTCCCCGCCGCCCTGACGGAGCACCCGGTTGGCGAGCACCATCAGCGCCGCCTCGACGGCCGACGACGACGACGACTGGACGATGTCGGGAGGGGGCTTTGCTGCTGCCTCGCGGCGGCGGCGGCGTCTGCGGTGCACCAGGACGGCCACCAGCGCCACGCCCAGCACGGCGGTCAGCGAGAGCACCACGCCCAGCGCCAGGAACAGCATCAGCCGGCTCTGGTGCCGCGCCGCCGACATGCTCAGATCCGCAGCCCCGGCGTCGCTGGAGGACGTCGAGCTCCCGCCCGCTGAACTGGCAGTTTTATTCGGACCCGTGTCCTCAACTTTTTGTTTTGCGTTGCCACCAACGTCAATTCTTTCATCCCCCATCTCTCTCTTCAAGTCCCCGTCCTCTTTCGTTTTGCCCTCGATGTCAATTTCTTTTTCCATTTTCTCCTGAATGTGCGTTTCTCCTTCCATCTTCAGCTGAGCTGAATAAGCGACGACGGGCCCTCCGTCTTGACGCTTATCTCTCTCGGAGTGAGGCGCAGCTTCCCCTTCACCAGATACTTGTGTCGGAGCGTCGTCAGGTGTCAGCTGTACTCTAGATGCCCGGGCGGCGCCTTTCTCTTCTGCTGCTGTGCCCTCTGTCTTGCCAGCCGGAGTCTCTGCTCTCTCCATTTTGTTGACCTCTGTCGCAGGATATCGGCTTCCATTTCCATCATTGTGCTGTTGATTTTTTGCATCATGTCCACCTGCGTCCGCAGTAGATGGGTGGGATGGACCGCTGCCCGATGGTTTGATTACGTCGGCTCGGATCAAGGCTCGGATTGGCAGGTTGTGCTCTCCGAAGGCCCGAGCGGCCTCCAGGTCCGTCGTCTCACCGGCCAGTTGGCTGCGGAGGCGTTCTGGGTCACACCGGTGTCTGCCAGCTACCTCTGGGAAAGGCAAATGGGCGTCCTGGTCACACAGACTCTGCTCGTACAGCTGCCAGAAGACCGCCTCCTGTGTCGGACTGAGCGGCCCGCTGTCGGGACCGGCGCACAGTGCGCGTGTCAGGTTCTCCGTGGGGCAGAGACCTGTCGACATCGAGCGCACTCTCAGGTCTGTGACGGCCACGTCGGCACACTCAGAGAACGTCAGCGAGCCCGGCTCGGCCTCGGTGATATCCATCTGGTGGATGTTGACCGGCGGAAGGAAGCCTGAAGGCGTAGGTTTGATGAGCATGCTGTTCAGCGCATTCTTTCCGAGTCTTTCAATTCGAACCTTTTCCAGGTGGATCGAGTCGTTTGCCATAACTGAAAATCCACTCGGATTCAGTATCTGAACAAACAAATCAGTGACTTTGAGCTCTCCCACTGTCAGATTTACGCCTTTCTCGTGCAATGTCAAGATTTCGCTGCTACTGATACTGAGCTTTTGTAGCTTTCCAGAAAACGCCCCAGGATGAAGAACTTCTATGCGACTGGACTGAATAGAGAATGCCTTCATGGTGTCGGCTCCAGTAAAGCATTCGGGCTTGGCATCGGTGATATTCACGTTGTTGAAAATGGTGTTAGAAACTTCACCGCCAAAACTTTGACCAGGGCACACCTCCATGAGAACATTATTCAGCGACATTTCGGCGACCGGCCCCGAAAATGCTCTCGAACCTAAGGCTAGCTTATTGATGTCCTGCAGCATCAATCTGGGCCCCAGAGTTTCGGAGTCGAGTCGGAAGGCGTCATTCTTGACGTGAAGTTTGGCAATTCTAACCAACTCAACATTGACACCTTCTCCCCAAAATCCACTTACGGCCTGACTGTCAATCTGAACGCTTTCGATGTCTTCCATGCGAAACAGCGTCAGCGCCGAGTGATTCTGCAAGGCCATCCCTCCATTTTCTATGACTACGCTGTGAGTATTGCGGATGCTGAAGTTCGCGAGCTGTGTCAAGCTGCTGAAGGCGTTTCCCTGGATAATGACAGCCTTGGCTTTTACAACGAGCAATTCTTGCAAAGATGCCGGTCCATCACCGCGAAAAATTATCTGAAACAATTACAAGTCTAACGTTAGAATTCGCCTACTTTTGCAAAATGGTCAGAGAACTCAGATTTGTTTTTCAATAGAAAAACACAATTCTAGCAAATAGTGTTTTAACTATTGACAACAAACCTTCGGCTACTCAGTACCTGTACTATATCAAACGTTCCCAGGTTTATTGTTGTTATATCAAACTTTCATCTATGCCTATTGTTCAGCGTTCCGCCATTTTCTATCCTCATGGCAGTCAAATCCTTCTCTTCCACGCTGACGCCTCAACCTCCAGATCCGTACTGGACGGTCACCTCCATCAAATGTGACGTGGGTAGCTCCGTCAGGAGCAGGCCCCTCGTGTGTTGGGGTGGCCATTAGCCTGACTGATTGGACTGCCATGTGACGGCGTCAGCCCCGACGGCGCACCGAGGTGACCGCCCTAACCAATGACTCCCCCTAATTCCCGTCATCTTTCCGATTCTGAAAATGTGTTGGTAGACCGAAAGGACCTAAATCTAAAAAAGTTCATTGTTTTCTGCACTTCATTTCAGCTTAATCAGCACTTATAAACCGTTTTATTTTACGTGTGAAGTAAACTGTGCATACCAATACCGCATTGAGTAAAATCACTAATACATATCCCAGTACTCACGGTGTCCATATCGCAGTCGCAGGTAACTCGGCTGGCCTCGGCACAGCTGGGCTCCGCGGTGCAGCAGGGCACGGCGCAGATCCCCTCCGGCCCGTCAGCCCCCAGGCAAGAGACAAAGGCCAGTGACGTCACCAGCCACCAGAGCAGCCGTCGGCAGCCCTCCATGACCGGGCGGGGCCTGGGAGGGGCTGACACCGACCCTGGACCGTTGCGAAACGCACCCGTATGCAGCACTTTGCAAGTGCAGATTGGCCGTCTGCGGCTACAATCGCACGACAGTGCTCCGAGCTGATGATAGCTGTATCAAGTTCAAACGTCAGTAATCACATGACGACGACGCCAACGATGTCACTCGTGTAGATAGCAAACAAGGACCGTTTACCGATTTTCTTTGTCCAAAGCACGGATGACTTAAGACGCCATTCACGTTTAGTTTTTACAAGCTTTACCTATCCAAATGATCTGACGATAAAAACAGTGCAATTTTCTCGAAGAAAACAGCACCATGCTTCAAGCAATTCTGTCGCTTGCTTACAGGAGGCGCTCGAATTCTGCCCTTCTTTCTCTGCGATGCAGAGCTCGGCCATGACTTTCGCTACGTGCGCCTCCTTGCATGAAAACAGCTTCTGGGGATTCGTCGGCGACCAGAGACTGTATCATTCCCGTGGAGGCTTGCTGTATAGTAGCTCACACCACTTCTCACCACTCCAGAATCAGATCACCCGTTCGAAGTTCGAGCCATTCTTTCGCTTGACTGACGAAGTGTGCACGTTTCCAGTCTTGACACCATGTTGTCAGTGGAGAGGACGGACTTAGTATCGGACGGTATGGTTTTCAGTTCAGTTTCTTGCGGATACTCGTCCATACATTCCAAAAGGACAATCCCAGGCCCTCTGAAGCCTTGCAAACGTGGATATTGGGCTGATTTGTTTAGGAATAAGAGGTGGACTCTGTCCACCTCCTAAAGGAAAAGGGCCACCTTTAACATGGGGAATGAAACTGAGATAGCCATCTTGTAGCCCGTGTCCGAAAACCTATCTGTCTACCTCCTTACGGCCGATTTCGGCCTCCATTCGTAGTTATCGGCAATTTTAAAAGAAAATACGCCAGGAATGCGTTCTTATCCGACAATACAGCCACCCGCGGCGAGGCTTTGGTTTTTTACCAATCAGCTCCAACCAGCTCAGCTTTAACCAATCAGCTTATCTGACACAATCCGACGAGTCTGTCTTCTGAACGCTGATTGGCTTGAGTGTGACGTCATCGCTATGCCATCATACAGTAGGTGCCGTAGAGAGTATCAACATAGTACCAATATGTTAAATAGTTTTAAATACTTTTTCGCGAATTGTGCACTTCTGGCACCAGTTTTAAAAAGAAAATGAAAAATAATAATGTCAAAATGAAAAACAACGATATCTTCATATTTCACGAAGGTGGCCCTTTTCCTTTAAAGGAAAGGAAAGGAAAAGGAAAAGGGCCACCTTCGTGAAATATGAAGATATCGTTGTTTTTCATTTTGACATTATTATTTTTCATTTTCTTTTTAAAACTGGTGCCAGAAGTGCACAATTCGCGAAAAAGTATTTAAAACTATTTAACATATTGATACTATGTTGATACTCTCTACGGCACCTACTGTATGATGGCATAGCGATGACGTCACACTCAAGCCAATCAGCGTTCAGAAGACAGACTCGTCGGATTGTGTCAGATAAGCTGATTGGTTAAAGCTGAGCTGGTTGGAGCTGATTGGTAAAAAACCAAAGCCTCGCCGCGGGTGGCTGTATTGTCGGATAAGAACGCATTCCTGGGATAAGGACGCATTCCTGGCGTATTTTCTTTTAAAATTGCCGATAACTACGAATGGAGGCCGAAATCGGCCGTAAGGAGGTAGACATTTAGGTTTTCGGACACGGGCTACAAGATGGCTATCTCAGTTTCAATCCCCATGTTAAAGGTGGCCCTTTTCCTTTAACCCTCGCCGGACCTATTGGTTTTCTACATACGCGCCGGCCGAGGGGGGGGGGGGGCGGGTACGACCCCCCCCTCGCCGTTTCGCCCCTGGTGGAGCTAGCGCGTCGCGGAAAAAACGAGCGTGTGCGCCGTTACGAGACGCAGAGATTGGTACCCGATTTTAAGGTCCTAGGTCAACCGGTGACCTCTGAGGTCAGGTCAAGTGCCCCAAGGTACGGTTCAGTTTTTGGTGAATAACTTCGCAAAAAACGGCCGCAGAGCGCCGATTTTGGCAGCATCGTGTTCGTCTCGCTCAGGCGCGTCGAATGATATGCTTTTTGTCCGGGTCAGGTCAACTTGGAGTGTTGACCTCAGGTCAAGGTCAGGTCAGCACCCCCAGGTCACGAAGTTGGTCGAAAGGGGTCATGTCGCATATCATTCGATTTGGCAGGTCTTCCTGAGTCCATTGGTGGCTTTCCCGACTCGCTAGCTCAATTTGATCAAGAGTTATTGACGAAAAACTAATATGACCTTGATGACGTCATAAATGACGTCACGCAAGGTCAACATTGCAAAAGTGACGCATCTAACCTTGCAAGGAGTGCATCAAATCACGATTCTGTGTGCTTGAGATAGTTGGAGATCGTTCCCGGCGCCAGAATAGCAGTTTGAATTTTTCCCCATTGACTTATAATGGTGAGGTCACGAAAATGACCTGACCTCATATGACCTTTAGGAAAAATCCGAGATATACAAGTTGTGGGACTCATAATGGATACTAGATCCTGCAAGTTTCATTTCCCTGTGACATCTCCTCTGGCAGTGAGGGCGTTGCGAAGTTGCGACATCTGAAGACCGTGCAGAGGTTCACTTATGACGTCATAGGTCAGTGACCTGACCTGACCCAAAAATGCGGTTGGTGTCAAAAGATGCGGCTTGGATCAAAGGTCAGGTATGCCAAGTTTCAGCTCTCTATCGCCAGCGTGTTCGGAGCTATCGCGAAAAAAACCCTATGGGGGGGGGGGGCGGCACCCGCCCCCCCCCCCCCTCGGCCGGCGAGGGTTAAGGACTCGGGGTTGAAACGCGCCAGTCCCTGACAACTGCACAGGGGCAGATTGGTCGCAGCATGCAGTGTGCAGGCTGCTTGAGTCGTGTCACCGATAGCAGGGTTAGGGCTTAGGGCAGCTATTAGTAAATACACTCGACGATATAAGATAGAGACATCACCCAGGTACTTAACCTGAGGCCTTTGTGCAGAATATGGCGCCGATAACACCCTCACGAGCGCCTATGTACATACGTTGACTAGCACTCAGTGACATTTGGAAGAACATCGACATTTTTTTTTACATTGGGGACTGCAAAAGTGGCATTTAATCCGCGCCCTGCTGGGGAGGGAGGGCGCTGATGTTTGCTCACGTCCTCTTGACCGTTTTTTGGAGCTGTCCTGGGCCCAAGGTCTTGCGTCCCAGCGATCGCTGGGAGGTCTGGTCTGGCCAAGTTCCTGCTGCACAATTCCCAAGAGCAATTCGATTGGATTTAGATCAGGGTTGTTCTCTAGCCTTGTGCCCTTCGCCCAGCAATTGGAAATATGCTCCTTGCACTACGTGTGCGATCTGGTAGACCAATGAGCACGATCATTGTCTTCCGTGACAATGCTGTCCGACCTGTGTGGCACCATGCGCCGCTGAAGAAAGGAGCCCATGGTCGCCGTCTTGTTGATAGCAGGAAGACAGGCTTTCTTCAGGATATTCTCTGTATATGCATAGTCTGGCAAACCTAAGAAAGAATGGATTTAAAGTGCTGCGGCTGTTCATGCATGTGCATTTATATTGTGAGGGCATATTTTCTGTCACACCTTTTCACACAAATTTCTTCGAACCATGTATTCAAGGTGATCAAAACACGTGCAAAACTGCGCAAAGTGATTTAGGCGCTTTAACTCCGTTCTTTCTTAGGTTTGCCAGACACTAGTAGCCGAAAAACGTACCTACCAGTGGCGGCGGAAGGTATTCTAGGATAGGGGTGCAAACGATATTGAAGCGCCCCTTCCCGCTGGGCGCCCCTTACCATGCCGATGGCCGTCCCTGCACTGGAAAATCAGTTTCGCCCCTATACAGGCGCCCATAGAAGTTTGCAGAGTGCTGTTCCTGGTCATAATCATCTCCCCAGTAAAAAAAAAAAACGCAAAATACGCCCTAGCACTAGGGGTGTAACCGCCCATACGGACAGTGCAATTTTACAGGCCCCAATCTCGGACCTCCCTTAACATTCATATGTTGTAAACGGCAAACCGCCCCCGATAAATGTTACACCAACTAATTTCCTCTCGCATATCGGCCATCAAGCGCCCCTTTTTGTCGCATGGAGCCTGCAACGCTATAAGCCCTCATATGTTCGTGTTGGCGTTCGGAGGCTATCGCCTTCAAAGACGTCTCCATAAATGTTTCTTTTTCGTCCCACACACAGGCGCCCCTCTTTCGCATGCAGGCGCCCATAGGCGTCGCCAGACATTTTCGGTTGGGGGGGCAAAATCAAGTTTTGTGTTAAATCTTGCCTTTCCCCAGCCGTTACTCACTCGTTTTACATATCATTCGACGCGCAATGGTGCGAGGAATCCGATGGTGACAAAGTTTTCCTTCTAGCTATAGCATGTATTTTTTTACAAAAAAAAAATCAAAATTTTGAAATTTCTGGAGAAAAACGACCGTTAGAATTACAGTGGCTGCGATTGCCGACGCACTGCAGACGGCCCCTGTGCAGACTCTCGTCGCTCATGATCATTACCCAGAAGAAGGTGAAAAACGCTCCATTTGAATCGGATCACCTCGCTAAAACCTCTATTCACGCATGCATGCCGAGGTTTTACGTGAAATGCATAGGGCTTATCCCAGTAAGGCGACACATGGATGAAGCTAATGCTACTTTTTCATTTTGTTTCGGTAGGCCCGTTTGTTCAGAGCGTAGCCGTCCTGTCGGTCTGCGCCTGTTACAGCTGTGACTGATTCGGTGGTCAGCTTTACAGCCCTTTCGGTGGATTGGGTATGGCAGGGGACCCCCTTTTTAAGGGGAGTCTGTAGAAAGTCGCGCAACTCATCCTCGCTCATGTGTCGTACACAAGGGGGCTCAATGTCTCGGCCCTCGTCAACCGCTCGCTGCACGTTAACCAGTTCCATATAGTTGTTCGCTTGAACGTTAATTTCCGGCAGCCGGAAGTGCCGAATGGGCTGCTGCTGTGGCGGTGGGGGTGGCAGCTTTGGCGGCGGTCGTGGCGGCGGTGCCGGCGGTGGTGGTGGTGGTGATGGCCGCCGCCGTTTCAGACGCCGCTGCTGCTGCTGTG